GCTGCCCCATCCCTGGAAGTGCTCAAGTCCAGGTTGGATGGGGCTTGGAGCAACCTGGGCTAGTGGAAGGTGTCCCTGCCCATGGCAGAGGGTGGAATGAGATGATTTATAAGGCCCCTTCCAACCCAAACCATTCTGTGATTTTATGATCAAATGGTGTAGTGGGGGCAGGACGGGGCTGTAGAGAGAATGGTCTCTTGCTGCAGGCAGAATAAAAATGGAAAGGGTTTAAATTCCAGGAAAAAAACATAATCTGTTGCATTTAAATTGGGGACCCCTTTTCTCAGGTGATCATTTATTGCTCATTCATCATGATCTGGGTGTTTACTGGGTGGCCCCACAGTACAGAACAGCTGAGCCTGTGGTGCAGTCAGACCCAGCTGGAATTGTTGTGTGAGTGTGGGAAGCACTAAAAGCACTAAAAATAACTTGGAAAACATCTCCAGTTGGCCATCCAGCAACGGTGGGCACTTTTCATCTTGAGCTCTTTTTGCCTTGGCCGCCTTTGTTAAATGTGAGGAAAATAATCCCCAGTGTACAGAAGCTGTGGGTATAAATTAATGTTTGTGAGACACAGGGGGTCCTGAGAGGGGAAACCCCCTGAGGAAGGGTTGGCTCTGCAGTAGCTGAAGGCTCTGCAGGTGGCAGAGCTTCATCATACCCTTTGCTGCTCGTGGGCCTTGTCTCTAGAAACTCATGAACTCAAACTCCCACTCTGATCCCTGTCCAAACCCAGCTCAAGGAGCAGATGGCACTGGCTTAGTCCCCAGCTCACATCCTTTTCTGTGTCCTTCTCAGCGATGGTGAACTTTGTAAGACACTGAAGTCTTTAACCATTAGCAGGCAATAAAAAGGGGCAGTGGAGTTGGATAACACCCACTAATCCCCTTCAGGATAAGCTGGAGAGAAGAGCCACTGCAAAGCTCCGGAGCTTACTCTGAGATGAGTGCTTTGGAGGCTTTGAGAATTGCATGGTGTTGGTATTTCATGAATAAATAACCCCCAGTGGAATTTTTCAGTGAATGTGCTTCATTAATGAGACCTGGAACAAAGAGGGAGAGTGGAGAAAAGTGTTTTTGAGAGAATCAAGGCGAGTGTGGGTGATGGGAGGTGGCACAGGGCTGGGTGAGGATGAGTGCCATGGTCTGCAGCTGTGCAGGGTCATGAAGGGAGCCCTGCTGTGCTGTACCATGCTGCACATTTGTGGCACGAGAAGTTGGTAGAAAATTGGAGTTTACTGATGCTGGGTGTGTAATCAGTGGGTTCTGATGTGGAGGGCAGTGTGTTTCATTTATAATTATCATTTGGGTGTCTGTGTGCGTCTTTGGGAAGGCTGGAGTGTTAAAGAGAATATGCATGTGTTCACAGATGTGCATGTACTTGTGGACAGAATCTGGCATCAGAAATTAGGTCACTCACTCCAAAATGCCTTTTTTGGCAGAACCTGGCATCTCCTTCAGGGTGGTGAGGAATTGCCCCTTCCTCTCAGTGCACCAGGTGCTGAGCTCTGCCTGCTCCCTGTGGTTTTGACACCTGGGTCCAGCTGGGGCCACCGGCAGCTTCCCCTGCCTCTGTGGTGTGCTCCGGGCACAGAGGGACTGCAGAGCTCATCTTCTCCCTCCTGCCCTGTCAGAACAGATCTGGGGCTCAGTCAGTGAAATCCAACACGGATAGATGGAGAACAAGAGGAAAGAGCTGTTCTTTTGCAGGCAGCTTGTTGCTGCAGGGAAAGTGATTCATCCATCAGGGCTGGTCTGATCTGGCACCCGGGCCGTGGTGGGGATGGCTGTCCCCAGCGGGCTCCGTGCAGTGGTGACCAGATGCTGCCACCGCTCCTCAAGTGTCCCCTGCCTTGTCAGCACTGCCTTCTCTCCAGGGCTGGCTCTGGGATTTGAGGAGTCCCATGCAGCAGGCAGGGAGGGACAGGCAGGGGTCACTGCTGGAGCTGCACGAGTGGAAAGTCATCTGCTCCGAGCCACGTGTCACTGCGGGAGGCGGGTAATTAATGATTGCACTTCACTCCCAAAATTAAAAGGAGCCACCAAGGGTACAGTGCCAAGGGCTTGACAGCGCCTGCCTACAGTGGGCCTTCATCCTCCAGCCCCTCCAGAGGCAGACAAAAGCAAAGTTTGCTCCCAGATGCTTGGAGCAAGCCTCTCATGTGCTGACATCCCCCTGTCAGGGCTCTGTGTTGATGTGATGCTCCTCTAATCCAACGACAGCCACTATGGAAACAATCCTGCTGATCAGCCTCCCTCCATCTGCCGGCAGCGCCGTCACCCCACTCCTCTCACAGGTGACACTCGAACACTTCCCTCTGGCTCTGCTGTCCAACCATCCAGCGAGGTTAATATTTTAATACTCTTAATGGCTCATTCCGGCTCGGCAGCCCCTGCCCGTGCTTTGTTGGGGGTCATCCATTATGCTAGCCGTGATTTCGGAGAACGGGTTTCCTGTTCTCATCCTCAGCCCTCCCGAGGGCAGAAGGTCGGTTTGTGCTTCCAAATTTTAATTAAAGCACGATGAGCTGCCCTGGCAGCCCCAGCCCAGGAGCACGGTGCTGTGCGGGCTGAGCCAGTGTCTCCTGGCAGCACTACAGCTCTCGGGAGCAACCCCATCCAAGGACCCAGCCCAGGGTCTCCTTTCCACCACCCAAAGCAGCTGTAGCTCCTCACCTTCTCCCTCCAAGGACATGGGAGCTGCAGGAGGGCTGTTCTGTGGCCAAATGGAGGGAGGGTGGGAGCACGGTTCTCCTCGCAGTCCACCCACGATGAGAGACCCCTTGAGAGAGCCAGATGGGGCTGAGCTTTCGGGGAGGGTGGTGGAGGAGTTGTCATGGTTTGTTGGGTTTGGGTTTTTAAAAATAATTTCCCCCTGCATTAATAAACAGCGTTTTTTGTTAGTAAATAATATGCCCTTCCTCCCCCCCCCATCTCTCCAGCAGAAATGTGTGCCCTGATCTAATATATTCTGCCTTTCTCACTCCCTCACTTCAGAGGAACTGCAGATCCTGGTGGGAACAGAGTGCTAATAGAAAACGGCCTCTAAAGATATTTGAAACATGACCAAGAAAGGACAGAGGGAGATTCAGCTCCAAATATGCTGGAAAATCTAGGAGATGGGCCAAGAGAGGGGGAATATCAGAAGCAGGATCATTAGGAGGGAAAAGTTAATTGGGAAGCATTAATTGGGGTGAGAGTGGGCAGCACAGACGTGAATTTGCAGTGATGCAGCCGGTGGCACCGTGGTGGGCACGGAGCTGCCCCGATGCTGGGGTAACTCCACCCTGACCCATGGCAGGGGAGAAGCTGCCCACTCCCTCCTTCCAAATGGGGACGTGCCAATTTACTGTTTCTTGCTGGTTTTATGGTATTTTCCTTGTTGAAAGCCCCAACTTCTGGAATCCTGTGATTCCCTTGAAATCCGGAATCTGCAAAATCATGACGTCAGTACTGCGTTAGGGCTTTATTTCTTTGGGTTTGCTCTCTGAGGAGTTTCTAGCCCTCAAGCTTGCAGTGAAAACCTCACTTATACCCTAAAGACTCCAAAAAAACAAGAAAGCAGACGGCACGTTTAGGGAAGGGGGAAAAAAAAAAAACAACAACAAGCAACAAACCCACCCAGCAATTGATTTATTTTTAAAACCTCATCATTTTGGTGCCAATTTCATTATATTCTTTTTTAATGCCTGACTCATGATTTTTCTGAGCGTTTGGTGTTGGCAGGGCTGTGTGCGTGAGTGTGACGGTGTGTGAGCTCAGGGGCCCTCTGCTGATAGATAACACAGGGCTGCTTCCAGACAGCCCTCGAGGGCTGATGAATATTCCTCCAGCGCTGTTTCATTGCCAAGCAGACGGTTTTCAAATTAAACCCCCCCCCCCCAAAAAAAAAAAAAAAAAAGGGAGATTAGCAGCTCTGGGCATTGAGTCCTTGTGCTGATGGGTGAGCAGGGGAGATGCTCAAGGGGAATAAACCACCCTGTGACTCCCAGTGTTGCCTCAGGGAGTATTTTAAGGTCAGAGAGGTCAGTGTTTATTTGCAGCCTCCTGTGTGTAAAGATCTAATAAACAGCCTGTGCAGGTCAAGTCTGTCACCATCAGTGACTTGTTCTGTGACCTTGGGTACATCACTTTGTCTCTCTCCTGTCAGTGTGAGGGTTACAGGGTCTCTTGCCTAGGATGGGTTGCAGGTATTGGTTAATATATAAACTGTGCTTTGAAGATGAAAAATATCTTGGAGACGCTTAAAGCTCTTGACAAGCATCTGTGTTCCTTTTGCAGGAACCCAGCAGAAGGCGAAGTGCCTGAATGCTTTGTCACAGACAAAATCTGCTGTGTGTGCAGCTCGGAGAGGCAGGGCTGGGAGCTTCCCAAGGCTTCACGTGGCCATGGAATTATTCCTAGGCACTTATGCTTCTTGCTTGCTTAAGAGAGGGGTGTCATGGCACGGCAGTGCCTGGGGCTTTGCACATCATGGGCTGGAGCAGAGCAGCAGAGCTGTGCCCTTCATCCCCTGGAGCAAAGCATGGGGATGAACCTCCACATCCACATCCCAGCACACATGAAGCCAAGTTTCATGTGTCTTTCCAGCTTTTACAGTGTCCCTGGATGATGGATGGCGTTTGGATGCTTAGGGAAGCTTGGCCCAGCTCAGGAAGAGTTTTATGGTTTTGGATTTGCTGTTGTCTAGTGTAGGGCTGGATTCACACACAGCCCCAGCCTACTAATAAAGTGTCTCCCAGTTGCTAGTTTGCATAAAACTGATAGGTAGTATCCTTGAAACCCCGTAACTGGTTGATTCTGTGAAGGATGTCAGAGTCACGCAGCAGATTTATTATATATCATAATAACAAAGCCCTACTTTTCTTGGGAAGCTTCCTTTGGCTCGGTTTCGCTAATCAAAGCGCCGGGATTTTGCCAGAGCCTCTCCTTGTGGATGGCCCTGCCCCTGCCATGCGCTCCAGCTCCCTGCCAGCCCTAATGGTGCCTTTTCTCTCCAAGGGAAGAAGCGATGCTGTCCACCTACTTCGAAACCATCAATGACTTGCTCTCCTCCTTCGGGCCGGTCCGGGACTGTTCCCGCAACAACGGCGGCTGCACCCGCAACTTCAAGTGCGTTTCGGATCGCAAGGTGGACTCCACGGGCTGTGTGGTAGGTACTGAGCCTGCTGGGCCCCAGGGACAAGCCAGAGGGGGATATGACCTGCTCCCTTTTGGGGATGTGGCCAGGGGGATGTGTGTGCTGTTGGTGGACTTCCCCCACCGCTGGGGCCTTCACAGTGAATCACAAATCCCTTTGGAACCTCAGGGAAGCAGCCCAGGGGCTCAGATGAGCGAAAGAAAAATCCTTGAGGCTGATGGTTGTTTTCCTGCTTGTCTACAAGCATAGGTGGGAAGCTGTCTTGCTTCTTCTCCTGCCTTGTGCTTCCCAGTGTGGAAGAAAGATGAAGCATCCATCCCCCCATCCTCTCCTCTCGGGGCCTCTCTGACACCCTCAGAGTTTTGATTTGTTTCTGAACATGCTCATGTCTTGCCAGACAATCTACTGAGTCCCAGGTTTTGCAGTCCTCCCTCCAAAAGACCTCCTAGACCCTAAACCATTAGTTTTGAGCAGAGACTCTTGAGTCATAGAATCCTAGAATGGTTTGGGTTGGAAGGGACCTTAAAAATCTTCTTGTTACAACCCCCTGCCATGGGCAGAGACACCTTCCACTAGACCAGGTTTCTCAGAGCCCTGTCCAACCTGGCCTTGAACACCTCCAGGGAGATAGGAGGTGTTCCCAGCCACACTTGCACAGAGGGGTTTTGCTGTGCTTCAAGGTGGGAGCAGCAGAGCTCAGCACCTCACTCAGCTCTAACCCATCTCACCTCGACAGCAAAGTCACCTCTTCCCTGTGAGTGAAGCTTTGTGTGAGTCTGGTATGACACAGAGACACAGGGCAGAGCCTTGGGAAGTGGAGGAAACCTGGAGCATCCCTTTTCCTCTGCCTGTTGTAGGAGTCCCTGCCTGCCAGGCAGCAGTGGTGACCCCTGAGGAGGTCAAGAGCTGTCACCCACCCTGCGAGCCCCTCAAACACGTGCCTGCTGCTCCAAAACCCCCCGAAAACCCTCTGTCCCTTCCCCTCGTCTCACTGCAGGCAGAGCCCCCTCGCCCCATCCCTCCCATCTCAGCAGAGGCAGGAGTTAAGTGTCTCTTTATTTATTGAAGATGTTTGTACACGGCAGCTGGGAAAGGTCAGGCTGGAGCCGTGCTGTCCCGGGGGGAGGCGTTTTCATTATCCCCTTCTCCGGTTGCTTGTTAAGGCCATTTAGCACGACAGCCTGATGTGTCACCAGCAACGCCTGGTGCCATCTCCCCCTTCCTGCTCCTCTCCCTTTCCTCCTTTCTTTTCCCATTGTCATTATGTTTTTTGGGGCGTTTTCCCCCTTTTTCTGTGTTGCTCTGAACGCCAGCCTGCTTCCCAGGCACTGTCAGAAGCAATCGGGGCTCTGATCGCCCTGTGCTGCTGGGAAGAGATGCCTCTTTTAAAAAGTCAGGATATATTAAGATAAAAATTGTCAATACATTACAGGCCTAGTGCTCGCCACGCTGGCATGCAGAGAGGCAGAAATGGAAAAACTGTGTCACTCCAGGAAAATAACCCCCCACTGTAATGCCTGACTTGAGGCTGTGTGCAAAGGGAATGGACTGTGTACACTGCAGGGAGAAAAGAGGAGCAGCAGGAGCATTCTCCTGGAGTGCATCCACTCTCTGGAAGCTGTGGGTGGGAGGTTACACACAGGGACCACAGGAACCCCCATCCTACACATCACACCAGGGTCTTGGGTCTGTGCATCCCATGGGACAGGAGATGGCTGTGGAGATTCCCATCTCTCCCCACTTTACTCTTCGCCCCTTTTCCTCCCTACTACAGGAGGATGAGGCTACTCTGCCCTTTTCCACAGCTCCCAGTCATGGAGTAAACCCCCACCAGCTCTCCAGTCCCAGCTTGAGGACAGCAGAGCTGAGCTGCCCAGAGGGAGTGTGGAGGTGGCTGCTTCATCCCACCTCCATTCCCTGTCTCCCTGCTTCCCATCAGACTGACACAAGGGCACAGTGCTCCATCCAGCTCTCCCAAGCCAGTGCAATATTTTACAATGATCACCTGCTTGTAGGTCCCCCGGCAAAGAGCAAAGGCCTGGAGAGCACTGTCCCATGTTTCTGACTGTACTCCATGGCTGTTGTCCAGGGTAAAGCCTAACGGGGGGCTGGCAGCACTGCCCCCAGCCTTGGGTCATGCTCAGGGCACTGAGTGCAGTTTCAGGGGATGGGACTGGAGTCTCAGAGCTCACTGCAGCCCTGGCCTGTGAGATCATGGCACCTTCTGCACTGTCCCTGCACTGGGTGATACATCCCCTCCTCATCCCAGTCCCGCTCACGGAGTGAGCTGGGCTTCCAGTGCAAGCAGGGGTAGGGTCATGTGCTGCAAATTTGCAGGGATGTCAGTTAGTTTTGAAGCTGAACTTCTGTGAACTCAATTTGCCAATTTGGTAAGTGCTATGGGCAATATTGGGATGTAATTTAATTAAGCTCTCCCCTTTTTATAGAGTTCAGGGAGCATTTGCGTACTAATTTTAGCACTAGGTCTGCTCCAGCTTTACTCTGGACGCAGTTTCACAAATCATGACATGTTGTTAATCTTTACCAGTCAACAGTTTATTAATTTGCTGAGGACCACAGAAGTATATAATCAGTGGTTCATCAATCAAGGCTAAATCCAACAAATGTTCCAGGCAGGTACTAAGCATAAAATATACATGCAGCCTTGTAAGCAATTAATACACCACAGAGCTGGAGCCGAGCGGCTCAACCAGGGAGCAGCACAAATCTCCAAGATTTCTTACTCCTTTTATATATAATCATCATCTGTTACCAGTTCCTTCATGCCCTTAATACAGCTTCCAGTAATTCTGCGAGGACTGGGATGCATTTATCTCCGGGTTTTTAGTGGCGTGGGCTCTGCCATTACCTAATTGTTTGGTCTTAAAAGGTCTCGGTTGAAATGTCGAGGGCGGATTGCTCGCAGCTCATCTGGCTGAGCAAAGTCTCCTTGGGCTGAGGAAGGAGAAAGCAGGATGTTGCTTTGCTCACTTAAAATCCTGCGTTCAAGGTGTCACCTGGAAGACCCCACAGGCTCTCCAGGGAGGTCCCCACTGGGAAGGGTGGCAGCTCCCCTGCTGCCATCCTCCACTTCCCATGGGACCGTTTTCCCCCCTCATCTCCTGATTTTCTGTTAGTTTTACGTGTACCCAGTAGATGGCATGAGTGCATAAAGGGTTTCTGCAGTTCTTTTCTTGTCGGAGGCCTTTTACTGGGGTAATTTTAATCATAGAATCATTGAATAGTTTGGGTTGGAAGGGACTTTAAAGATCATTTAGTTCTAACCCCCTCACGCGCCATGGGCGGGGATGCCACCCACTAGACCAGGTTGCTGAAGTATGAGTTGTAACCTTGGTAAGACCTTGGCATCACTAACTGGAGCCTTGCCATTGAGCCCTAACATAACCAAACAATCCCCAAGCTCTAGAAGACCTATTTCCATGCTGCTTTTCCTTGTTGCACCCTAGAATTGCTGTTGGATCTGTGGAAGCTACGGGCATTGCCCAAGAAAATAAAATCCCAGTGAGCTTCTCTGAATCTGGTAGCTCTGCAAGTCCAGTGTCTGTTCCATACAGTCTTGCAGGGATCACAGCAAACCAGGAAAAACTGTGCTGGAGGAATAAGTGAGATTGTTGCCTGTAAAGGACTGTGTGTTGTTGATCCCTTTTACTGGCACGGTGGTAGCTGTGCAGCCTCCGGGGAGGATGCAGAAGGAGGGGGAAGTGCTTGACACTCAGGTGTTGGTGATTTGTAATTTGAGATGAAAACCTGAGAATTGGCCCTGAGAGACTGAAGGAAACACCTGCATCATGGCTTAAATTCAGGGTTTCCCCACCTGTCTCTCAGCTCGGTTTTGCTCGCTGGTGCCAGTCTTCTTGTCCACCCAAAGAGGAGGGGGGTCGCTTGCATCTGCTGCCCCATGGCCTTGTGCACTTATAAGCCTGGAAAGGCAGGGTTGCAGCCCCAGGAAAATAAGAGGGCTGAAGGTTTTTTTCCCCCGAGGAAAGGAAGCTTTGGCTTTAGCACACGAGCTGGGCGAGGAGGTGGTCGGTTCTCTCCCGGTGCACGTTTGCATCACTGTGGGAGGAGGCAGCAGCATCTACAGGTGTGCAGGGAAGGTGTGTGTCTGAGCCCCGTGGTACCTCTCAGGATGAGGTCTCATCACTGTGAGGATGACCTGGAGAAGCAGGAGGGCAGGAGCTGCCCAGCTGGGCATGAGAAAGGCAGCTCAGGATCCCGTGCCAAGGCAGTGACAGAACTAGCCCCTTGTTTCCTTGTGGCATGAGTGGCTTTTCTGGAACAGGTGGTGTGGTCTGATGGTTCTGCGACATCTGTGGTGCCTGCAGATGTTGGTGAGTTAGTTCTTTAAGTCAGGTGAGAGTGCCACAGAGGCCAGGGCTGTTGCAGGTGGGTGTGGAAGGGCTCATAGCATTGCTGTGCTCCAGGATCCATCCCACCTTGGGAGAGGTGCTGGCAAGAGGTAGGAGAGTCTGCCCAGCCCAGGTGGTGGGTGCTGCCGCTCTGCACAGATGTGAAATCCTGCTGATCTCCTCTCTCACAGGCTCAGGTTCCTCTGGCAAAGATTTATTTCTAATTTGAGCGAGAAAAACAGTATAGTTTGCCTCCAAGGACGATGTGAGCTGTTCCTTCCCATGGTGACGGGGTCAGCCTGCCAGGCAGGAGGGATTTTGCCTGGCTCAGCAGGAAGAGCATCTACCAGAGAGTCACTTAATGGAGTTGTGGCCCAGGGTGACACCAGTGCTGTGTTGGTCCCAGCCTTTTTAGACACAGAAGGAAGAGAAATTTGGCATAGTCCACACAGGTGTATAAGCCTTAGCACAGCCTGTGTGGAGCTAATCCTTCTCTTGCTCTCTTCCACATCAGAATGCTGGGCTGTTCCTCAGCTGCTGAGGAGCAGGGCAGAGAAGTGGCTTAATTTAGGAGTGTAACCGTTTCGGGGAGAAATGGGATTAGAAGTGAAGGATCAGGGCAGGTGCTGCTGCTCTGGTCTC